TTTCCTCCTCCTAATACTGATCCTCCTCTCTCACTCTTCCTTCAAGTGGTATCCACATCAGTCCATCCTTGCAAGCATGCTGTCTTGGCATCATACTTGCCTCTGGCCTCACCTTTGAGCCTCACATCCAATTTGTTGCCAAATCCTGTAGATTCCAACTTTAAAACATAGCCCGCATCCGCTCCTTTCTTACAAAAGATACTATCAAGGAGCTTGTCCATGCTCTAGTAATTTCCTGCATGGATTATTGTAACCCTCTCCTTATTGGTCTTCCCAAAAGCCGTATCGCCCCGCTATAGTCTGTAATAAATGCTGCCGCCAGACTGATTTTCCTCTCTAGTCATTCCTCTCATACCTCACCTCTCTGTCAGTCCTTACATTGGCTTTGTGTATCCTATAGGAGTCAATTCAAAGTGCTAACCCATACATATAAAGCACTGAACAATTCTAGCCCCTCTTATATCTCTTCCCAGATCCATAGGTATGCTCCTCCTCGTTCCCTCTGCTCTGCCCGTGACCACCTCCTGACCGCTGCTCTCACCCGTACGGCCAACTTGCGCTTGAAGGACTTCTCACGGGCAGCACCCTTCCTATGGAATAGCCTGCCTACACCCATCAGACTCTCCCCTATTCTTCAATCCTTTAAGAAGTGCCTTAAAACCCATCTCTTTAGGAAAGCTTATGGCCTACCAGAGTAACCTCTACCTTACACACCTGTCTCTTGCTCTCTCCTATAGGGCAGCACTTTGCTCTCTCCTCCAGCTCTACTTCACTCTCACCTTATTTTATTGATTTTCCTGTCCTAATGTGTTTTATACCCCAACTTCTATAGACTGTAAGCTCGTTTGAGCAGGGTCCTCTTCAACCTATTGTTCCTGTAAGTTTTAATGTAATTGTCCTATTTATAGTTACCTCCCCCCTCTCATAATATTGTAAAGCTCTACGGAATCTGTTGGTGCTATATAAATGGCAATAATAATAATAATCTGACAAAAACAGTATTTTTTAAATCTATGCTAAAGGATCCCATATAAAGTTTTCATTCTTGCGTTAGTTTTGTAATGGATTAACAAATACATGGAAATCAAAATTGTGCAAAATACATTCAATTTTAAGTTTCTACATCTCTGAACAACAATAAATACAAAAAAACACAGTTTAATCTTACTTTTTTTTTTTATTGTGCCCTTTATTTACTAAAAGTGAAACTGACATCTGTATTGCAAAACTTAAACAAGGATATTCAAGCTGTAGATTTTTTTTTTACTTAGTGACCAGCTCAAAATTAGAGGGTGGGCACAGGAGCTCAATTAATACACAGTACAGTTTAGACCTTGATCCTTAGTACTTTGTATTAAAAATATATTCCCATTTTAACACTTTTATTATAAACAATATGCTTTTAAAATGAATTACAAATGTTTTTTTATGTACTTTTTGTAAATTGCACTGGTTTGTTTACCTTTTTTAGTGTCAAGTATGGAATTTCACGAATAATTACTAAATTTCAGGAGTTGTCCTGGTAACTCTTAAGAATCAGCAAGGATTATTCACTAAACAATGTGCTGGATGACTTGAGAGTCAAATTGCAAATTTAGGCCAAGTTAAAAAAACTGAGTCTTTGCAGTTACCTTATAATCTATCCTATGTTTTTCAAATAGGTACCCAACTCACTACAACTCTCTTTTAGTCAATAGACCTCATTATACCCGAGTTGCTGTCTTATAGTCAAATAAAAAATGCCTAATTCTTAATTCCACTTCAACCACTTCACAGACATGAGCCTTTGTTAGCCTTATTAACACAGCAGGAAATTTGTCATATTTTCAACCTTAGGCTGCTGGAAAAGGCAAAAGATGAAAATAAAGTATGGTGCATTTGGATTTAATGCTCTTGTGCTACTGGCTGCTGAGATCCTTTAAATATGTCTAGCCTTCCATCTGTGCCAATATTGCAGCAAAGGCTTAGCCATGATTAGGCTGTCAAGATTTATTAAGTTAAAAAGTATCAAAGTTTCTTATATCAAGCCCAGACCTTAAGAGTCCACCTTCTTTTATGTCCCTTCCCCCCAATGCCACTGTCAATGTGCCTCACTTCACCTTGACCAATATATGCACCCAGGGAACACTAATGAATTTGGGCCAATTTATCTTGGAAGTCCAAATTTAATCAAGCTGACATGCTGGGGAGAGCAGCCGATAATTAACTCCTTGCATTTTAGGTATTCCGTAAATAATTGTAAACAAAACATTTTTCATTTTCTTCTGTTTTCATTGCTGCTGACCACTGGTCAGATGTGACTGACAGTAAAAAAATAAAATAATTATTTCTGAATGAATTCTTGTGGCAAACATTCACAGGCTGCTGCGTAGATAAATTGATTTTGTGGTCTTTTCAGCCAGTACTGAAATAAAAAAAAATAAGAAATAAAAATAGAATAAAATAAGTAATAAATAAGCAAACCATAGTTTATTAATTAAATTCAATGCTTGAACGTATTATTAAAATAATGTATCAATTATATCCCTTTTCATAATTCTGAATCCCTTAAAAATAATTATAATAAAAAAAAATCTATGCCCCAATAATAAATAAAACTGTATTACTAAATAGTGGTGAACTAACATTAGGCTTTCATAGTCTTGTTAGAAAATAAAAACACTTCATCACAGTTGACAATTATTTGCAATTTTGTTTTGGCCTAATTATTACATATCTGCTATAAAACAACTCAATGTTTAGTGAATAGATCCAACAAAATAATTTAAAAAAAAATTATAAGTCATTTGAGTTTCTCCCACTCCTCTCCTACTCTAAGTAATTCTGCATGTTGGAAAGCAGTAAAGGAAATGTGTGTAATTATATCACCTAATTAGATATGGCCAAATATTTCATGGTAGATATGGCTAGATGACGGATTTTTTTCTGTCCTGTTGATTTGATGAGCTCCCAGGGAAGAACTCAAATTACACACTGGTATAATTTCATCCTAGCGGAATGTGTTATAGCGCTTAACAAAATCCTAAACTACAGGAAACTTATTAGATATGAAAAATAAAAACATGTTCTGTGAGCAGATGGAGCAGCTGTCACGGACACAGATAAAGACAGATTCATAGATTGAAGCAATTATTTCATTTATATTACTCTACCTCCTCTTAACTATTTAGCTATGGTAAAGAAAAATATACATCTCGCTCTCCAGAACACTTCATTGTATAAGAATGTTTTTTTTTAATTGCTGATATGTTATGTCTGTTTTATAAATGTTGCCGTGTGTACCGGTTATTACTGAAATAGCAAAGGGAAAAAAATGTTTAACATTTCTGGCTGAAAAACAAGTTAGTTCTTGTTAATAGTGTATTGGTATTTGACTTAATTTCCTGCAGGAAATGAAAAAATATTAGTTTTTATGGATTATTATTTAAAACAGTAGATTTTATTATAGGCTTCATATTTAACATTTTGCTGTTGAGGTGGCTCTTATGATATGCACGGTACTGTTTTAAAGAGAATTAAAAATGAAATGGGTAGAAAAAAATAATTAGAATGTATATACATAAATATATAAAACTCCACACTCAATGTCTCCAAGTATAATTGCCTTGTTGCCTATCTCCAGTCACAATAAACAAACGCTAAAAAATGGAGAGCACTCAAAGGTCTTGTTTTGCAAAAATATATCCTGCTTATTGCTGATCAACATTTCAGTTAATATGAGGACTTTTGTCAAGATATCCAAACAGTGCTTAACCAGAGTTTAAATAGGATGCCAAGTAAATTGAAATATAAAATTAGGAGTAATTATTTCAGATGACTTAAAGGTAGGCAGACAATGTAATAGAGCAGCAGGAAATGCAAGCAGAATGTTTGGCTGTATAGGGAGAGGTATTAGCAGTAGAAAGAGGGAAGTGCTCATGCCATTGTACAGAACACTGGTGAGACCTCACTTGCAGTACTGTACACAGTACTGGAGACCGTATCTCCAGAAGGATATTGATACTTTAGAAAGAGTTCAGAGAAGGGCTACTAAATTGGTTCATGTATTGCGGGATAAAACTTACCAGGAAAGATTAAAGGATCTTAACATGTGTAGCTTGGTGGTAAGAGGAGACAGGGGGAATATGATAGAAACATTTAAATGCACAAAAATAATGAACACAGTAAAGGGGGATACTATATTTATAAGAAGAAAAACTACCATAAAAAGAGGACATAGTCTTAAATTAGAGGGGCAAAGGTTTAAAAATAATGTCAGGAAGTATTACTTTACTGAGAGGGTAGTGGATGCATGGAATAGCCTTACAGGTGAAGTTGTAGAGATTAACACAGTAAAGGAGTTTAAGCATGCGTGGGATAGGCACAAGGCTATCCTAACTATAAGATAACGCCAGGGACTAATGAAAGTATTTAGAAAATTGGGCAGACTAGATGGGCCAAACGGTTCTTATCTGCCGTCACATTCTATGTTTCTATATATATATAATTTTGTATTTATTAATTGTATTTATTCCCAGTGCTTTCATATGTAATCATGCTTTATTATCTATGCAGTGTGGAGGGGAGGGGCAAATCTCAGAGTATTCAATCCTCTCAGCTTCTCTGCTGGCTTATAACTATGAAGAATAGATATGAATTAATGGAATCAGCTCACATAGCAGCTGATGTCTGGGTTTGTAACAGCCACCAAACTCAGGTGGACCTGGATGTATCCTGGTGCTACCGTAGGATTACAGGAAACATAACCCTAACCTAATCTTCACAAGCTAAAGTATACCTATTAATGGTACTGTGAGTGTTTTAAAATACAGTAATGCATGTTATGGTTTGGAGACATACTTAAAGCATTCAGTCTTATGGATTATTATGTCTCCAGAACTCCTTGATATGTTTGTCTGTCATAATAGCATTATTTAGGGGCAATTAAAAAAAAAAGTATTTTTAGCTTCTATGCTTGTCCTACACGTAAGTGTAACGATATGAACAGTGTTACATAGCAATCAAATTAGCATCCCATGAACAGCATTAGAATGTTCCATGTCATCTAGGAAATACTGGTCTTTAATGTCCACTATGATGTTAATAATATCCACTAAGATGGTATTAATATCCACTAAGACGGTATTCATATCCACTAATATGGTATTAATGTCCACAAAGACGGTATTCATATCCACTAATATGGTATTAATGTCCACAAAGACGGTATTCATATCCACTAATATGGTATTAATGTCAGCTAAGATGGTGTTAATGTCCACTAAGACGGTTTTAAACATCCTGAAGTTTTGATGCAAAAAGAGTTAAATCCTTTCTCATGCCAATGAGATTCAGGTATCTGTTGCCTCACATCCCAATATAACAGTGGACCGGACTTCAGTGTGTGTGTTCTGATATACAGAGCGGCTGCAGGTCTACTTTGACTACTCCGCTATATAGCATAGAGGGAGAAGCAAGTGTGTTTTTCTACATAAGCTTTGATCTGACAGTGTACAGAACTGTGCAAGCTTCAGAGATACACTGGTGATTTGATCACTAGGGATTCCATGATCTATACGCAGCCGAAATGTCCCAATGCTTGATTTCAATTCATAATTTAAATAATATAGAAATTATGAAAAAAAAAGGAAGTAACGAACACCTTATAATATAAGACCTGTCATGCCAAAAATAAATGAAATATCTAAGCATAAGAGATATTACCCAAATTAAAGCAAATAAATATATAGATATATGTTTATGTAGTTTTTTTAGCTGCTCTAGTTAAATACTGTATTTTAGACAAAGTGAAAACGTTTACTTTATTCAGTTCTCCCATCCCCCCAATGTCTATATATTTTAACACTGCTTTAGAATTTTCATTACTGAATAATATTTAAACAAATAATTAATAGTATTACAAATTTAGTAAATTACATCATAATTCAGTTCAGACAAGGCAAAATCTTTGCAAATGAGGAGGAGTAATGGAAATATATTATGTCTCCTCATCTGTGTATGAATTATCTATACTGACTGCCAGGTGCAGAGAACATGAGCTTATAACAATGACTGACGGGAAGCTACGATTTAGGACTTGCAGGATAAAGACATTTGTAATTCTACATTAAAATTTTATTTTCACACCTCACAAATGCCTATTTGTTAAATATTCAGATAAGCAAACAGTATTTAAAATGCTTGAAAATTACAGATTCTTGTTAATCTTGAATGCATTTAGTATTAAACAAAAGCCCTATTGCCCTTTAAAAATAATATATAATATGTGTGGATATGGTTAACACTAAATGTGAAATTTTCAGTTGGACAAGCATATATCAAAATTCTGCTTTGTTTACCGAGTTAGACAATTCTCTAGTCCTTAAGGGCTAAATAAAAAAAAAATATATATATATATATTAATGTATAGCTTATCCTGCTAACAAAATGCTGATATTTGATGTTGCTGCACACAGTAAACTATCATTTAAATTGTAGTAGTGGTAGTGCATACCATTAACAAAATCAGTTGTTTTCTGGGATTGCATTTTTGGAAATTTGAACAACTCCTAATGTCATTACTAAAATGTAATGTGTGCAATTTCTGCATCACAGCATGGACATGAAGTATACACATACGACGGGACAAACACAAATGATAGACCATGGGTAGCCAAAATGATCTCTAACTATTGTATAATCCCTGGGGATCTACCTTTGGCCATGCCTGATTATGACTCTAACCTGAGGCACTTCTTACCATCTATACATTTACGGATAACAGATTAATTTTAAGAACTGTAGCGAGGTTCCACATTTTTTAAATTAACTTTACAGTCCATGTAATCAAGTCACAACCTGGTGGGATAAAGCTAAGCTCTATACATATATATTTAATATTTTCTGTAATGCAGCATTGTGCTGTGTACTGAGAAAATGCAATTGGTTTTGATAGAAATAGAAGATTGCACAGGTTGTCAATGAAGAAAGCAATGTTACTTTGGTGCAATAATGACTTTATTTTGGAATTGTTCACTAAACCAGTTTTAATTAAAATAAAAAAGTATTCTTTCAGCTCCTAACACAACTTGGAAGATACTGTTGCAAGTCAGAAATAATTCTGCATAATGAGTGTGCATTGTGGTGAATTGTAGTGAATGTAGTGAGGTAGTGATCTAAAAACTGAACAGCAAAATTTACCCAAGCATTTTCTCCAACTTACCAAAGCACACCCCCCAACCTCAGTGTCTCACCCAACCTCAGTGTCGCATGTTGGGCAGGCGAAAATGTAATCCCCCGACCCCCCAGCAGGTGGTTTAAAGAGGGTGGGCAATTGATGAAAATTGAATCATTGGTGCTATCCAAAGGTGCTGGACCCACATTTAAATGAATGCATTCCAGGCTGCCTGCCAATCACCCATGACAACCTAAATCACACATGAAGCTAGTGCCTTAAGTGTAGTATGATTGCCTTAAATATCTTTCTGGGCACACTCCTGCTTTTGGGAACACTAGGGAACAAAGTCAGAACATGCGATGTTTGCGATGTGGGCAAGATTTTAAAATAAGGACTATACTACCGAAACCAGGGCTGCTGGGAGGCCTGCTATAGTCACAGTTCAACCATTTTTGCCAATATTTTCCAATTCAGTTTTCAGTACATAGCAATTCTCTGTTTATTGGATAACTCCCCCAAAGTTTTATTGAACATACCTTACAAAAATAATAGGTAAAGAGAGTGTTGCCATGGTCTTATTGTGGTTCAAAGTAAATAGGGGATACTTGATTTGAACACAAAAGACTAAAAGGGTGAGATTTATAAAACCAAAGCATCTATTTTGTGATTTGGTAAATTCCTTATTTTATTTTTTTTGTAATTCTTTATTTTTACTGTGCATGAAATAACAGTCGCATGTCAACAATGCCACAACAGCAATTGCAAACATTTTAAAAACACATAGTCTTTCACTGTTGTACATCATTTAGATTAAGCGCACAATTTTTAAATTAGTAATACAGGCTAGGTACAAGCTAAGTAACTACTACTGTCATAATAAGTTGTTTTGTCAGTTAGTAACTGTAGCTTAAGAGTTATATTTAAATTGACTGACATCGCTTTAATATCTAAACATTTTCTTACTGTAAAACCAAAACGTGTATACAATCGCTTATATAAAATCAGTTGCTTAGCTATGGCGCTTATACAAGTAAGGAGGAACAACCGGATAATGGCAGCGCTTCACAGGCATTAAGTGCGGCCTTATCACAAGATGGCTTCTATGTAGGCTATGACATTACTCGTTCTAGGTTACTAAGATGGTTAGCACACATTCCCCTCACACTCCCCATGTAAATATACGCTATACTGTGTCTATTATTCATTTTAGTTGAGGGTGAGATGAGAAAGTGGGATAAAATGCAGTGGGTATGGTGCACTTAATCGTCCATGCATAATTTCGGGCGTAGTCTGCTGAGTTTGCAGGCCCAACACTTGTCGTGGAGTCCAAGAACAGGCTTAGCGTAAACGAGTGAGTTCATTTAAGCATGTCATTAAGCATGTTTGACAGGCGTGTGTCGTAGGGTTATCCCAAAATAAGGCTGGTGCCACCGGTATTAGGAGGTGCAGTCTCTAAGTTCCTTGTCTGGGGTGTCAGCCCACTCCGGTACTTGGTAAGTGCCTCTTGTGCCCCAGTGATGTAGTGGCATCTTCCTGTGCCGCTTTGTTGGCTTGTGACGGTGATCACGGTGGCTTAGGTCTGGGCTGGTAGGGTAGATTATTTCTGGCAGGGTAACTAGGAGTTTCAGACCCTCTGGCCTTTCTCCTCGGGGCAGGCAATTCTAGGGTCTGTGGGCCCCTGTGGGGTTGCTTTACAGGGTTTGTTCCCGCTCTGTGTTCGCCTCATTTCTCCCTGCTTGATGCCCTTGGACTGTACCTTTGCCTAGTGTAGTCCACCTGCATGGCCCTGGGGTAGGCTGCCTTGGTGGTCTGATGGTGCTGAGTGAGCGCATATGGCTGGTGTGCAGCGGCCATCTTAGGAATGTTGCCTGGTAAATATTTCACTCCAGGGCGGTTGTATTAGGCCCAGCTTGTTGTGACCTGGCACCCTTGCAGACCGGGGGAGCGAGATGCCTGCCGGAGACCCGGGAGAGCAACCGTCTCATCCCGGCTCAAGCTCCAGCTAGCTCTGGGTCCTTGTCGCTGATTAGCCCCTTTGTTCGGGCCTAATTAATGAGACAAGTGGAGGGGATGGAGGGTTAATGAGACACATGGAGAGGCACACAGAGGGCTGGAGGGAGAGAGGCAAACCAAGGACTGAGGGGGGAGGCACACAGAGGTCTGAGCAGGGGAGAGGTGCACAAGGGTCATGGGGGAAGAGGTGCACAAAGGGCTGGGGGAAAGAGACACACAGACGGGTTGAAAAAGAGTAAAAAGTGACACACAAAGGAATTGACAGAGAATGAGATACACAAAGGGACTGGGAGAAGAGAGAGTCACACAAAGTTGGCAAATTTAGTTTTTTGAGTTGGGGGCACGTTGCTGTTTTTGCACGGACCCTGCGTGATGGATGGATGTTGTCGTATTCTGCTTGCGTTTTTTATGGGTGTTGTAGTTGCTTTGTAGCGTTGTATTTGTGCGTATCTGGGGTGTTATATTATATATGTTTATGAGTAGTTTTTGTTATTGTGTATGATACCTATGAATGAGGACTGTGTATGGGGACTACTTGTGGAATTGTGTCTGTGGATGATATGTCACATAGTGTGTTTGGTGCTGTGTGTATTTGTGGGGCTACGTATGGCATGTGAGAGGCTGCTTGTGGGGTTGTGTTCATGTATGTGGATTGTCAGTGGTGTTGTGCTTGTGGAGACTGTGTGTGTGGGCTGTTTGTATTATTTATATGAGGGGGAAGTTTATTCTGAAGCTCTGTGTATATCTAATAGCATGGGTTGCTTCCCTTGTGTCCAGTGGGGACCAGGTTAGCCACATACAGATCAAGGGCAGGAACTATGATAGCTGCTGCAGGCTGCTACGCTCCAGTGAGGATTCCTGTTTACAAGTGTGGGGAGCTAAGTACTGCAATGTGTAAATTGAGGATTGTCTCGTACCACCTACTGCTTGGGTTGGAAGATATCTGAAGTCCAAATGGTACCCTGATAGGCCAGTGCCTCTTTGGCTCTGACAGCCTTGAGTCCCTTTAAGTATCAAATGTATTTTAAAAAAAAACATATTCTAACTCTTCTCTGTCTCTATCTTTTTTTACACTTTTTCTGTTTCAATCTTTTGCCTTTTTAAAGTTTTG